ACACCATAATAACTTCTAATAAACAATAATAAACACTACTCACCCTAAATAAATACCTACACCATAATAACTCCTTATAAACAATAATAAACACTACTCACCCTAAATAAACAAACACTTACACAATAATAACTCCTAATAACCAATAATAAGCATTACACACCCTAAATAAACAAACACTAACACCATAATAACTTCTAATAAACAATAATAAACACTACTCACCCTAAATAAATACCTACACCATAATAACTCCTTATAAACAATAATAAACACTACTCACCCTAAATAAACAAACACTTACACCATAATAACTCATAATAAACAATAATAAACACTACACACCCTAAATAAACAAACACTAACACCATAATAACTCATAATAAACAATAATAAACACTACTCACCCTAAATAAACGCCTACACCATAATAACTCATAATAAACAATAATAAACACTACACACCCTAAATAAACAAACACTAACACCATAATAACTCATAATAAACAATAATAAACACTACTCACCCTAAATAAACAAACACTTACACCATAATAACTCATAATAAACAATAATAAACACTACTCACCCTAAATAAACACCTACACCATAATAACTCATAATAAACAATAATAAACACTACTCACCCTAAATAAACACCTACACCATAACAACTCCTAATGAACAATGAACAGATTCTGACCCACTGAGCTCAAACCGAAGAACTGGTTCTGACCTACTGAGCCCAAACTGAAGAGCAGGTTCTGACCCTACTGAGCCCAAACTGAAGAGCAGGTTCTGACCCTACTGAGCCCAAATTGAAGAGCAGGTTCTGATCCATTCACCCCAAACTGAAGAGCAGGTTCTGACCCACTGAGCCCAAACTGAAGAGCTGGTTCTGACCCACTGAGCCCAAAATGAAGAGCAAGTTCTGACCCACTGAACCCAAACTGAAGAGCAGGTTCTGATCCATTCAACCCAAACTGAAGAGCAGGTTCTGACTCATTCACCCCAAACTGAAGAGCAGGTTCTGATCCATTCAACCCAAACTGAAGAGCAGGTTCTTACTCATTCACCCCAAAATGAAGAGCAGGTTCTGACCCACTGAGCCCAAACTGAAGAGCCGGTTCTGACCCACTGAGCCCAAACTGAAGAGCCGGTTCTGACCCACTGAGCCCAAAATCAAGAGCAAGTTCTGACCCACTGAACCCAAACTGAAGAGCAGGTTCTGATCCATTCAACCCAAACTGAAGAGCAGGTTCTGACTCATTCACCCCAAACTGAAGAGCAGGTTCTGACCCACTGTACACTATACTCAGATTTAAATAGAAGTCACACCGCCCCCTACACTTCCTGCAGTGTATTACAGTCTGTCAGGACTACTTGCTGCTGTTAGGTTCAGTGGAGTGTAGCTCTGTACCTGTACCTGTACTCGTACCTGTAGATGGCCTCTGCCCCGGTCAGTTCCTGCAGTCTGTTCTGCAGGAGGTTTATCTCGTTCCTGTAGCGTTCCTCTGTCTCCTCGGCCTGCTGGCTGTAATAGCTCCTCAGACGCTGGATCTCCTGCCTGTGCTGCTGCTCCTGAAGCTCCTGCTGCTCCTGGAACTCCAGCCTCAACCTCCTGTCCACCTCCCAGCTGGACGAGCGGTCAGTCTCTTCTTCTTTCAGCTCTGCGTACACAGTGAACAGTCAAATACCAGCATATACCTTCACACAGCACCAACCCTTCCACAGTATGTATGTCAGTGGGAAGTCGATATTTACGGCTGAGGGGGGGTCCGGCGGGGCAGGAGCTGTGGACGTTCTCGCTCCTCACGGTCTGATCTTCACGCACCATCTGGACACACATATTCACAGCATATTGTCTTTACCACAGACGCTTTACCCACACGTTCATATATATACACATACGGTGAGAACGAGTGGGAGGGAAGAGTCTGTGCATCGTCTGTTTAGAGCTCTCTTCAATACAGCCTGCTGCACGGCCTGGACACGGTCACGCTCTCTCTTACGGTCCCTTAGGTTCTAGATAGTAAGCACGTGAACGTGAGGTACTAACTTCAAAACATTACATAATTATCTTGGTTATATGACGATAAGTTTGGAGACAGTTTAACTAAATTACACTGAAATACTAAACAGGTTCTAGATATTAACTGGGTGTGGGGGATAATCTCCAAAGTACTAGATAACTATTTTGGGTAACCTGACGGTGTATAACTAAACTACACCGAAATGCCAAACAAGTTCTAGATATTACGTGAGTAGTTCCACACTACTAGAAAAATATTTTGGGCAACCTGATTCTACGTTGCAAAACAGTTTCACTAAATTAAACAGACGTGCCCAAGAGGTTCTAGATATTTACTTAGTAAGTGTGGAGTATAATCTCCAAAGTACTAGGTAATTATTTTGGGAAATGTGATGGTAATCCCAAGACTTTCACTAAATTATGCTAAAATGACTGACAAGTTCTAGATATTAACTGGGTAATTGTGGGGTACAATATCCAAAGTATTGCATACTTATTTTGGCTAACATAATTTTGAGCTCCAACAAAGTCCAACTAGATTATATTTAAATGACTAACCGGTTCTAGATATTAAACTGACAAAGAACACAGTAAAATACCTCATAATTGTTTGGAGTAAGGTGGTCAATATTAACTAAATAAACTTCACTGTAAGGTCACTCGATTAATCAGTAGCAGGTCAGTTATATGGAGTGAAACGAATAAAATACAAGGTTTGTTTTGTGGAGTAAATATTAAGAACCCAACAGAACCACAGTAAGAACCACTGCCCTGAATCAGGTTAGCTTATAGCTAATAAACAGATAGTGACTGTATACGACTCTGTACTTTATTCATCCAGAATGTTTTACATCATATAACTACCAAAATAACTACACAGCACTGTGGAGACTGTACCTCACACATATACATGGTTAATATCTAGAACCCAAAATAAAGTATTATTGCTTTTTGAATGTAATCCCACCTCTTCTTGTCTCTGGAACATAATTTTGGGTTCATTAATTAAACAAATAACCTAATTAATGAGATCCGTCACCTGAGCGAGTTGCCTGCAGTCCTCCGACTCCTCCTCCTTAAAGCTCCGGCACCTGGGATCATCTGTGGGAACTGAAGGAGAGACAGAACCAGAACATTATTCTAGCACAGGTGGATAATATAAAGCCTGAACAGGCTGAATCACGCGGGCGGTGCCTGGCCTTTAGGAGGGAAGTGAGCAGTGTCCTCTGAAGCTTTGAGCTCTAAACGCGAAGCTTTCATGTTCAAACGATGAGTAATCCTCCCCCAGCGGCCCACCGGACCATCAATAATGGATCAAACCCACAATGCCCAGCTGAGGATTCTGTACACGGCAGACTGTTCACCTGCAGACTGACCTTCTACCTGATCCACACTCACCTATAGACCGATCTTCTACCTGACCCACACTCACCTATAGACCGATCTTCTACCTGACCCACACTCACCTATAGACCGATCTTCTACCTGATCCACACTCACCTATAGACTGACTTTCTACCTGACCCACACTCACCTCTAGACCGACCTTCTACCTGATCCACCCTCACCTATAGACCGATCTTCTACCTGATCCACCCTCACTTATAGACCGATCTTCTACCTGATCCACCCTCACTTATAGACCGATCTTCTACCTGATCCACCCTCACTTATAGACCGATCTTCTACCTGACCCACCCTCACCTATAGACCGATCTTCTACCTGACCCACACTCACCTCTAGACTGACCTTCTACCTGATCCACCCTCACCTATAGACCGATCTTCTACCTGACCCACACTCACCTATAGACTGACCTTCTACCTGATCCACCCTCACCTCTAGACCGATCTTCTACCTGATCCACCCTCACCTATTGACCGATCTTCTACCTGACCCACCCTCACCTATAGACCGATCTTCTACCTGACCCACCCTCACCTATAGACCGATCTTCTACCTGACCCACACTCACCTATAGACCGATCTTCTACCTGACCCACACTCACCTATAGACTGACCTTCTACCTGACCCACACTCACCTATAGACCGATCTTCCTCCTGATCCACCCTCACCTATAGACCGATCTTCTACCTGATCCACTCTCACCTCTAGACCGATCTTCTACCTGATCCACCCTCACTTATAGACCGATCTTTTACCTGACCCACCCTCACCTATAGACCGATCTTCTACCTGACCCACACTCACCTATAGACCGATCTTCTACCTGATCCACCCTCACCTATAGACTGACCTTCTACCTGATCCACCCTCACCTCTAGACCGATCTTCTACCTGATCCACCCTCACCTCTAGACCGATCTTCTACCTGATCCACCCTCACTTATAGACCGATCTTCTACCTGGCCCACCCTCACCTATAGACCGATCTTCTACCTGATCCACCCTCACTTATAGACCGATCTTCTACCTGACCCACACTCACCTATAGACCGATCTTCTACCTGATCCACCCTCACTTATAGACCGATCTTCTACCTGACCCACACTCACTTATAGACCGATCTTCTACCTGACCCACCCTCACCTATAGACCGATCTTCTACCTGATCCACCCTCGCCTATAGACCGATCTTCTACCTGACCCACACTCACCTATGGACTGAAATTTTACCTGATCCACCCTCACCTATAGACCGATCTTCTACCTGATCCACCCTCGCCTATAGACCGATCTTCTACCTGACCCACACTCACCTATAGACTGAAATTTTACCTGATCCACCCTCACCTGTACCTTCATTTCTGACCTGCAACCTCACCTCCTACCTGTCCCTCACTCACCTGTACCCTCACAGCTCTCACCTGTACTCTTCCTCACTCACCTGTACCCTCACAGCTCTCACCTGTACTCTTCCTCACTCACCTGTACCCTCACAGCACTCACCTGTCGTCTGCGCGTGCAGGCTCTCCTTCAGCAGCTCCAGCTGTGCAGCGTGGATCTGACTCAGACTGATCCTCAGAGCTTCCATCTGCAACCTGCATTCTTCCTGCAGAGTGAGAGAGAGAGAGAGAGAGAGACAGAAAGACAGACAAGAGAGAGAGAGAGAGAGAGAGAGAGAGAGAGAGAGACAGACAGATAGAGAGAGAGAGAGACAGACAGACAGAGAGAGAGAGACAGACAGACAGAGAGAGACAGAGAGAGAGAGAGAGAGAGAGAGAGAGAGAGAGAGAGAGAGACACAGACAGATAGAGAGAGAGACAGACAGACAGAGAGAGACAGAGAGAGAGAGAGAGAGAGAGAGAGAGAGAGAGAGAGGTGTAAGACTGGAGCTACAGAAAGCCTTTTCCACACCTGTGTGTTCCCTCAGTGCTATATCACACTCAGTCACCTGTCTCACATACCTGAGAATCCAAAGCACAGACGGTATCTAATCAGAGCCACTGATTCGCCTCACCGCTTCCCTGTATCTCAATATTTCACACTAACATTAAAACCTTACTCTCTGCTCATTTGGCTCTCCTGTTATTGTTTGCTGTCCGCTGTGGTCCAGAGGAGGACGGTTCCCCTTCTCTCAGTGTTTCTCCCTCCTACTCTGAGGGAGTTTTTCCTTGACACTGTTGCCATCGGCGATGCTCATGGGGGCTCGGACCCGGACTGTTCTGTAAAGCTGCTTTGCGACAAAAAAGCGCATATAAATAATCTTTGACTTGATGCGCTAGAGCTAAGGGGGCGGGGCAGCTTACTGGATACAGGTTGGAACTAAGGTAGCTGTCCAGGACCAGAGTTGGAGATTCCTGGACTAGACTGGAGATCATTTCATTTAACTAGGCGGCCACATCACTCGAGAGCCCAGAGCCTCGGATGGTTTAAAAACGTGCATCCAGGGGGCGCCGTTCCCATCTTTAGCCCAGAACCACAGAACCACTGACTCCAGCCCTGCAGAGCTGAACTTCATTTACATTCCTAACGTTTACACGTCGGCCGTTTCTGAACCCTCCACTCAAACAGCATCAGCTCATCACTGTACTGAGCAGAACTGACCACGTGATGTTAAACGGCGTTTACTGTGACCGTAAATAAGGCGCTGAAAGGACAGCACAGCTGTTAGGGTTGTAGAGAGGAGCTCAGAAGTAACGAGTAGTGAAATAATCAGTACAGTAATCTCATTACAGCTGGACACAGCTAATCAGTCATTACTGTTTTTACAGTAACGACCCCAACACTGGACGCAGGGCACACTCACACCTCAATAACACACACACACATTTCTGTGATATCAGCGCTAAAAAACTGCTCTTTCAGAAAGAAAAACTCCTTAAATCTAGTCGATATACATATATATATATATATATACATACACACACACACACACACACACACATACACACACACACACATACATACACACACATACACACACATACACAGTACTCGTTTTTACTACTGTACTTACTACTACTTTTATTACTCTACAATTATTATAAGACTTTTTAATTTTGAGATATTTTTGCTTGTTTTAAGTCATTTTTATACAGTGATCATGTTTCATTCAGCTGGTTTAAACTGAACACTGCTGTTCACACTCGGAACCAGAAAACCCAATATAAACACAGTTCATTAACCACAGTCACACACAAAACACAATTACTGTGTATCCACTGGATTTAACCCACTGGGGGAACAGATATACATGGCCTGTGCAGAAGGTACGGCTCGTTTTACACTTCAGGTTCTGGTTTTAGTCTTTCGAGTGTGTTAAAAAGCTAATTAATGAAATTACGCACAGTAAAAAGCGCCGTTTGTGTGTTCAGACTGCGGCGACCTCATCAGAACCCTCCGTGCAGAACCCAGTGAAGAGCACACCTGTGATTTAGCATAACCCGGGGGTGGAGTGGAGTGGGGGGTATTATGCAGCACACAAAGGGTGGGGTGGGGGTGGCGAGGGTCCTGCATCTCTCCTCTGATTGATGTGTTAACAGCGTCTTGCATTTTAAACCCACTGGAGCCCCAGCCTGGGTTCATAACGACGACCAACACGAACGGACGCCACACGCTGACGATGGGCAGCTCAGAGAAACGCAGCAGCCAGGGGCACAAATAGATCACCACACTTACGACATTTTCACGATACACATCAGGACATCCAGCTGTCTGAGGTTAGGGATAAAACAGAACCTGCAGAGCCGCATTTACAAACACCGTAATAACTACGGTGACTTTTATTCAACCTTTTACAGACGGCGCTGCGTTTTACAGACGGCGCTGCGTTTTACAGACGGCGCTGCGTTTTAGAGAGAGCGCTGAGTTTTTACAGACGCGCTGCGTTTTACAGACGGCGCTGCGTTTTACAGACGGCGCTGCGTTTTAGAGAGAGCGCTGAGTTTTACAGACGGCGCTGCGTTTTACAGACGGCGCTGCGTTTTACAGACTGCGCTGCGTTTTAGAGAGAGCGCTGAGTTTTAGAGAGAGCGCTGCGTTTTACAGACGGCGCTGCGTTTTAGAGAGAGCGCTGAGTTTTAGAGAGAGCGCTGAGTTTTAGAGAGAGCGCTGCGTTTTACAGACGGCGCTGCGTTTTAGAGAGAGCGCTGAGTTTTACAGACGGCGCTGAGTTTTAGAGAGAGCGCTGAGTTTTAGAGAGAGCGCTGAGTTTTACAGACGGCGCTGCGTTTTAGAGAGAGCGCTGCGTTTTAGAGAGAGCGCTGAGTTTTACAGACGGCGCTGCGTTTTACAGACGGCGCTGCGTTTTACAGACGGCGCTGAGTTTTACAGACGGCGCTGCGTTTTACAGACGGCGCTGTGTTTTACAGACGGCGCTGCGTTTTAGAGAGAGCGCTGAGTTTTACAGAGTGCGCTGCGTTTTACAGACGGCGCTGCGTTTTAGAGAGAGCGCTGAGTTTTACAGACGGCGCTGCGTTTTACAGACGGCGCTGCGTTTTACAGACGGCGCTGCGTTTTAGAGAGAGCGCTGAGTTTTACAGAGTGCGCTGCGTTTTACAGACAGCACTGAGTTTTACAGACGGTGCTGCCTTTTACAGACGGCGCTGCGTTTTACAGACGGCGCTGCGTTTTACAGACGGCGCTGCGTTTTACAGACGGCGCTGAGTTTTACAGACGGCGCTGCGTTTTACAGACAGCACTGAGTTTTACAGACGGTGCTGCCTTTTACAGACGGCGCTGCGTTTTAGAGACGGCGCTGCGTTTTACAGACGGCGCTGAGTTTTACAGACGGCGCTGCGTTTTACAGACGGCGCTGCGTTTTACAGACGGCGCTGAGTTTTACAGACGGCGCTGAGTTTTACAGACGGCGCTGAGTTTTACAGACAGCGCTGAGTTTTACAGACGGCGCTGAGTTTTACAGACGGCGCTGCCTTTTACAGACGGCGCTGAGTTTTACAGACGGCGCTGAGTTTTACAGACGGCGCTGCCTTTTACAGACGGCGCTGAGTTTTACAGACAGCGCTGAGTTTTACAGACAGCGCTGCTCTGAATCTAATTAAACAGGACTAATTAAGCTCACGCTGTAATGAATCCTGCAGTCCGTGTTCTTTAAGTACCGATGACGTCCACCACGCGCTCAGAACAGCACAGTGTGACATAACTTATCACAATACTGATAAAACACCGTCACATCGCCCAGCTCAGCAGCAGCTCCGATACGCACCACCTCACTGCTCTGCATTATTATTATCATTATTGGTATCAATATCATCAGTGATAGAGACGCCTTTGCAGGTGATAAGGGTTCTCCGCCCTCTAACACAACGAACCCCAAACGTCAGAGCCCCCCCCTTTATTACTGTACTTACAGTCCACAGACAGTCCCATCACTGTGATCATTACAGGCTCATATTCTTTAACATGATTATACTCTAACGTTGCTATGCTGCTGCTGACCGTTACTAATCACCACTGCGCTGACAGAGAACCCTCTGACACACCTTTCTTTAGGGTTCTTCAGTAAAGACAGTGGTTCCATATGAAACCATGAACAAACCATAATGGTTCTCTGCATGGTGAAGTGGTTCTTCAGATTGAGGGAGGATGTGCTGGGGAGCAGGACGTCGTCTGAGATTCAGTCACACGTACAATGTTCTCATTCTTACACCGAGGAAATGACTCAATCACGTTAGCATGATAAAGCACAGGGGTCAGTCACTCACGCCGTACATTATTCATTATTCGACATGTTACTGCTAACAGAATTCAGCTATCTTTATGAATTTGGCTCATTTATGATTTAAAATGTACTCATCACCTGGACAATTTGTCTGTCTTTGATCTTAAAATCAAGCGTCAGCTCAGACCCCTTCTCAGAAACCGTCAGTGGAGCGTCTGTGAGCGGAAAGTGCCAGAATTCTGACGGCGGTTCATGTTATTACTTATTACTGGGTAAAAATGAATGATTAGCATGAGACGTAATTTTTATCAGGATTATTTTATCATAATTCTTATTGATTTTCTGTCCTGTTGGATTCATGCCAGGCTTTGGTTTTAAAACCAGACTGAGCCGCAGGTTTACTATCAGCTGATTTCAACACTCAAATACTATTGATTTTATAATCATATCGATCACGTTTATCGTTATTCATCTGCTGAAGTGAGTTTTAGCGCCACCTCCCGACGACACGCTCACTCTTCCACTCTGACGCCCCTCACAGGAATTAATGATTAATAATAATAATAAACGCCCACAGCGGTTCTAACGCCCTCACACACCACGCTGACCCGCTCCACTCCCCTATAACAGACACAAAGTGGACCTACGTGGTCAGATCCCTCCATGCTGAGTGGACGGGTCACTTCCTGGACTCCGGTCTCTCCATGGCTGAGGACATCTCTGATCTTCACCTGGACACCAGGACGAGGAGGAGCGGTCACTCATACGACATACACAGTAATAATAATAATAAACAATACAAAGATAAGACCGAAATAAACACAGAGATGAAGGAGTGACCAGTGACACCGTGAGGGACAGAGACAGTCAGAGGGTGGAGGACTGTCTCACCTCCACTGGACGAGCTCAGAGAGACAAACCAGCACAGACTGAAGGGGAAGATACTACAGACCAAATGTGCAGGTTTCACAAAAAATTACTACTATTATTATTAATATTATTATTATTAATATCCCTCTCACTCCCTCCTTCTCTCTATTTCTCTCTCTATCCCTCTCTCTCTCTTCACTCTTTACTCTGAACACAAGTTCAAGTTTGCTTTATTGACATGACAAATGTACGTTTGTATTGTCAAAGCATAACTAAAATGATCTATATATCAAAAGTTAATTACCAAAAAAAATAAAATAAAATAATAATAAATAGATCAAAATACAAACCAAGATTAATATATGATAATGTGATAATTAAGAGGAGAAAGTGTTAATCATCAATTAATAATATAAAAGTATATGGAATAATAAAACAAAACTTATTGGATATGTGTGTAGTTTATAACAGAAAAGAGAAAAAAAGTTAATAATCAAATATATTACATACGTAAATATATAACTGTGAGTAAAGGCTGTGGTGTGATGGTCACTCACTGTCCCTGAGTGTATGGCACTCGTACACATATCTGGCTGCAGTGGACGCTGCTGGACCCTCTCCTAGTGTAATCACTAATTTATCTTGATCTCCCAGCGTCTCGAAGTTCTTTATCTGTTTTTCAAATTGATTAAAATATTTATTTCTAATAGAATCATATTTTGGGCAGTTCAGTAGGAAGTGCACCTCTGTCTCTACCTCACCTGTCCTGCAGTGACCACACACTCTCTCCTCTGTCTCTACCTCACCTGTCCTGCAGTGACCACACACTCTCTCCTTTGTCTCTACCTCACCTGTCCTGCAGTGACCACACACTCTCTCCTCTGTCTCTACCTCACCTGTCCTGCAGTGACCACACACTCTCTCCTTTGTCTCTACCTCACCTGTCCTGCAGTGACCACACACTCTCTCCTCTGTCTCTACCTCACCTGTCCTGCAGTGACCACACACTCTCTCCTCTCTCGCTAGCCAGGGCTTTTTAAACCTGCCTCTCTCAAATACTCTCTCTCTCTCATCTAGTCCCTCTGAATGTCTCTCTACCTCTCATTCTTTATCTTTGCCTGAATGTGCTGTTCTCTCCATCTCCTCCCCCTCCCTCTATCTGTATCTCTCTCTCTCATTATCTCTCTGTATCTTTCCCTCTCCCTCCCTAACAGTATGTTTATCGGTTCCTCTCCCTTTCATTCTGCATCTCTCTCTCTCTCTCTCTCTCTCTCTCTCTCTCTCTTTCTCCCTCGCTCACTCTCACCTGTTACTCTCAATCCTCTCTCTCTCTCTCTCTCTCTCTCTCTCTCTGTCTGTTGTGTTACGGTTGTTTTTCAGATCTTTAATGTGTTTTGGTGTTAAACCTGCTCTTTCTGACACTTAGAGTGATGCAGTGATTACTGGAGAGAGAGAGAGAGAGAGAGAGAGAGAGAGAGAGGGTAGAGAGATATACAGGTACAGATAGAGAGAGAGTAGAGAGATATAGAGGTACAGATAGAGAGAGAGTAGAGAGATACAGAGGTACAGATAGAGAGAGGGTAGAGGAATACAGAGGAACAGATAGAGAGAGAGGGTAGAGAGATACAGAGGAACAGATAGAGGTACAGACAGAGAGAGAGAGTAGAGAGATATAGAGGTACAGATAGAGAGAGAGTGTAGAGAGATATAGAGGAACAGATAGAGAGAGAGTAGAGAGATATAGATGTACAGATAGAAAGCGAGGGTAGAGAGATATAGATGTACAGATAGAGAGAGAGTAGAGAGATACAGAGGTACAGATAGAGAGAGGGTAGAGGAATACAGAGGAACAGATAGAGAGAGAGGGTAGAGAGATACAGAGGAACAGATAGAGAGAGAGGGTAGAGAGATACAGAGGAACAGATAGAGAGAGAGGGTAGAGAGATATAGAGGTACAGACAGAGTAGAGAGAGTAGAGAGATATAGAGGTACAGATAGAGAGAGGGTAGAGGAATACAGAGGAACAGATAGAGAGAGAGGGTAGAGAGATACAGAGGAACAGATAGAGAGAGAGGGTAGAGAGATATAGAGGTACAGACAGAGAGAGAGAGTAGAGAGATATAGAGGTACAGATAGAGAGAGAGTAGAGAGATATAGATGTACAGATAGAAAGCGAGGGTAGAGAGATATAGATGTACAGATAGAGAGAGAGAGTAGAGAGATATAGAGATACAGATACAGAGAGAGGGTAGAGAGATATAGAGGTACAGACAGAGAGAGAGGGTAGAGAGATATAGAGGTTCAGATAGAGAGAGAGTAGAGAGATACAGATAGAGAGAGAGAGTAGAGAGATACAGAGGTACAGATAGAGAGAGAGGGTAGAGAGATATAGAGGTACAGATAGAGAGAGAAGGTAGAGAGATATAGAGGTACAGATAGAGAGAGAGGGTAGAGAGATATAGAGGTACAGATAGAGAGAGTAGAGAGATATAGATGTACAGATAGAGAGAGAGGGTAGAGAGATATAGAGGTACAGATAGAGAGAGTAGAGAGATACAGATAGAGAGAGGAGGTAGAGAGATATAGAGGTACAGATAGAGAGAGAGGGTAGAGAGATATAGAGGTACAGATAGAGAGAGAAGGTAGAGAGATATAGAGGTACAGATAGAGAGAGAGGGTAGAGAGATATAGAGGTACAGATAGAGAGAGTAGAGAGATATAGATGTACAGATAGAGAGAGAGGGTAGAGAGATATAGAGGTACAGATAGAGAGAGAGGGTAGAGAGATATAGAGGTACAGATAGAGAGAGTAGAGAGATATAGATGTACAGATAGAGAGAGAGGGTAAAGAGATATAGAGGTACAGATAGAGAGAGAAGGTAGAGAGATATAGAGGTACAGATAGATAGAGAGAGTAGAGAGATATAGAGGTACAGATAGAGAGAGAGGGTAGAGAGATATAGAGGTTCAGATAGAGAGAGAGTAGAGAGATACAGAGGTAGAGATAGAGAGAGAGTAGAGAGATACAGATAGAGAGAGAGAGAGTAGAGAGATACAGAGGTACAGATAGAGAGAGAGGGTATAGAGATATAGAGGCACAGATAGAGAGAGTAGAGAGATACAGATAGAGAGAGGAGGTAGAGAGATATAGAGGTACAGATAGAGAGAGAGGGTAGAGAGATATAGAGGTACAGATAGAGAGAGAAGGTAGAGAGATATAGAGGTACAGATAGAGAGAGAGGGTAGAGAGATATAGAGGTACAGATAGAGAGAGTAGAGAGATATAGATGTACAGATAGAGAGAGAGGGTAGAGAGATATAGAGGTACAGATAGAGAGAGAGGGTAGAGAGATATAGAGGTACAGATAGAGAGAGTAGAGAGATATAGATGTACAGATAGAGAGAGAGGGTAAAGAGATATAGAGGTACAGACAGAGAGAGAAGGTAGAGAGATATAGAGGTACAGATAGAGAGAGAGGGTAGAGAGATATAGAGGTACAGATAGAGAGAGTAGAGAGATACAGATGTACAGATAGAGAGAGAGGGTAGAGAGATATAGAGGTACAAATAGAGAGAGAGGGTAGAGAGATATAGAGGTACAGATAGAGAGAGAGAGTAGAGAGATATAGAGGTACAGATAGAGAGAGAAGGTAGAGAGATATAGAAGTACAGATAGAGAGAGAGAATAGAGAGTTACAGAGGTACAGATAGAGAGAGAGGGTAGAGAGATATAGAGATACAGAGGTACAGATAGAGAGAGGGTAGAGAGATATAGAAGTACAGATAGAGAGAGGGTAGAGAGATATAGAGATACAGATAGACAGAGGGTAGAGAGATATAGAGAAGTACAGATAGAGAGGGAGAGTAGAGAGATACAGAGGTACAGATAGAGAGAGAGAGTAGAGAGATATAGAGGTACAGATAGAGATAGAGGGTAGAGAGATATAGAGATACAGATAGATAGAGAGGGTAGAGAGATATAGAGATACAGATAGAGAGAGAGGGTAGAGAGATATAGAGATACAGATAGAGAGAGGAGGTAGAGAGATATAGAGGTACAGATAGAGAGAGAGGGTAGAGAGATATAGAGGTACAGATAGAGAGAGAAGGTAGAGAGATATAGAGGTACAGATAGAGAGAGAGGGTTGAGAGATATAGAGGTACAGATAGAGAGAGTAGAGAGATATAGATGTACAGATAGAGAGAGAGGGTAGAGAGATATAGAGGTACAGATAGAGAGAGAGGGTAGAGAGATATAGACGTACAGATAGAGAGAGAGGGTAAAGAGATATAGAGGTACAGATAGAGAGAGAAGGTAGAGAGATATAGAGGTACAGATAGATAGAGAGAGTAGAGAGATATAGAGGTACAGATAGAGAGAGAGGGTAGAGAGATATAGAGGTTCAGATAGAGAGAGAGTAGAGAGATACAGAGGTAGAGATAGAGAGAGAGTAGAGAGATACAGATAGAGAGAGAGAGAGTAGAGAGATACAGAGGTACAGATAGAGAGAGAGGGTATAGAGATATAGAGGCACAGATAGAGAGAGTAGAGAGATACAGATAGAGAGAGGCGGTAGAGAGATATAGAGGTACAGATAGAGAGAGAGGGTAGAGAGATATAGAGGTACAGATAGAGAGAGAAGGTAGAGAGATATAGAGGTACAGATAGAGAGAGAGGGTAGAGAGATATAGAGGTACAGATAGAGAGAGTAGAGAGATATAGATGTACAGATAGAGAGAGAGGGTAGAGAGATATAGAGGTACAGATAGAGAGAGAGGGTAGAGAGATATAGAGGTACAGATAGAGAGGGTAGAGAGATATAGATGTACAGATAGAGAGAGAGGGTAAAGAGATATAGAGGTACAGATAGAGAGAGAAGGTAGAGAGATATAGAGGTACAGATAGAGAGAGAGGGTAGAGAGATATAGAGGTACAGATAGAGAGAGTAGAGAGATATAGATGTACAGATAGAGAGAGAGGGTAGAGAGATATAGAGGTACAGATAGAGAGAGAGGGTAGAGAGATATAGAGGTACAGATAGAGAGAGAGAGTAGAGAGATATAGAGGTACAGATAGAGAGAGAAGGTAGAGAGATATAGAAGTACAGATAGAGAGAGAGAATAGAGAGTTACAGAGGTACAGATAGAGAGAGAGGGTAGAGAGATATAGAGATACAGAGGTACAGATAGAGAGAGGGTAGAGAGATATAGAAGTACAGATAGAGAGAGGGTAGAGAGATATAGAGATACAGATAGACAGAGAGGGTAGAGAGATATAGAGAAGTACAGATAGAGAGGGAGAGTAGAGAGATACAGAGGTACAGATAGAGAGAGAGAGTAGAGAGATATAGAGGTACAGATAGAGATAGAGGGTAGAGAGATATAGAGATACAGATAGATAGAGAGGGTAGAGAGATATAGAGATACAGATAGAGAGAGAGGGTAGAGAGATATAGAGATACAGATAGAGAGAGAGGATAGAGAGATATAGAGATACAGATAGAGAGAGAGCAGAGAGATATAGAGGTACAGATAGAGAGAGAGAGTAGAGAGATACAGAGGTACAGATAGAGAGAGAGGGTAGAGAGATACAGAGGAACAGATAGAGAGAGAAGGTAGAGAGAAATAGAGATACAGATAGAGAGAGAGAGTAGAGAGATATAGAGGTACAGATAGAGAGAGAGGGTAAAGAGATATAGAGATACAGATAGAGAGAGAGTAGAGAGATATAGAAGTACAGATAGAGAGAGAGTAGAGAGATACAGAGGTACAGATAGAGAGAGAGGGTAGAGAGATATAGAGATACAGATAGATAGAGAGGGTAGAGAGATATAGAGATACAGATAGAGAGAGAGGGTAGAGAGATATAGATGTACAGATAGATAGAGAGGGTAGAGAGATATAGAGATACAGATAGAGAGAGAGGGTAGAGAGATATAGATGTACAGATAGATAGAGAGGGTAGAGAGATATAGAGATACAGATAGAGAGAGAGGGTAGAGAGATATAGATGTACAGATAGATAGAGAGGGTAGAGAGATATAGAGATACAGATAGAGAGAGAGGGTAGAGAGATATAGAGGCACAGTAACACTGAGGCTGCACTGCAGAGACGAATCCTAACCGAACTGTTGCATTCAGCATAGATACGGCAGGAAAAAACTCCTCTTCACCCTCTCACACACACACACTCACACACACACACACACACACACACACACACACACTCACACACACACACACACACACACACACACACCCTCACACACACACACACTCACACACACACACACACACACAGCGCTGAGTGATACATAGAGACACTCGCTCAGTGCGCTGTGCTGTGATGCCGAGCGATGGAGAGGAGTTTCCCTCCGCTCTGATTTTTTTCCTCCCTCGCTTCTACCGGTTCTCCTCTACCGCGCGAGCATGAGTGTGCGTGTGTGTGTGTGCGTACCTGCTCCTGCTGCGTCTCCGTGACGACGACGCCACCGCTGCCACCGCTGAGAGAGTGTGCTCTCTGTGCGGTGAACACGGTCGACTCTCTCTCTCTCCCTGTCAGAGCGAGGGGTGGAGCGAGGAGACCCTCCACAGGTACCGCCTCCACCTCCTCATCCTCCTCCTCCTTCTGCTCTGATAGCGCCTGCTCTTCCTGCTGCAGGACAGCGAGTCGATCCTGCTCCGCGCTCCTGAGCAGATAAACGATTATCAGTGCTGATGGAAACAGCAGAGCAGCGTCTCCATGAAGGAACAGCAGCACAATAGTAAACACTGTAGTTACTTTAAATCGCTAAAGATACCAGACTCTAACGTTATATATGCGCTATTCTACTAACGGTATATACCGGACTATACAACTCTAACGTTATATACGCGCTATTCTACTAACGGTATATACCGGACTATACAACTCTCTAACGTTATATATGCGCTATTCTACTAACGGTATATACCGGACTATACAACTCTCTAACGTTATATATGCGCTATTCTACTCTCTAATGCTATATACCAGACTATACAACTCTCTAATGTTATATATGCGCTATTCTACTCTCTAATGCTATATACCGGACTATACAACTCTCTAACGTTATATATGCGCTATTCTACTCTCTAATGCTATATACCGGACTATACAACTCTCTAACGTTATATATGCGCTATTCTACTCTCTAATGCTATATACCGGACTATACAACTCTCTAATGTTATACGTCGCCCTATTCTACTCTCTAATGCTATATACCGGACTATTCTACTCTCTAATGCTATATACCAGACTATTCTACTCTCTAATACTATATACCGGACTATACAACTCTCTAACGTTATACGTCGCCCTATTCTACTCTCTAATGCTATATACCGGACTATACAACTCTCTAACGTTATACGTCGCCCTATTCTACTCTCTAATGCTATATACCGGACTATTCTACTCTCTAATGCTATATACCAGACTATTCTACTCTCTAATGCTATATACCAGACTATTCTACTCTCTAATACTATATACCGGACTATACAACTCTCTAACGTTATACGTCGCCCTATTCTACTCTCTAATGCTATATACCGGACTATACAACTCTAACGTTATACGTCGCCCTATTCAACTCTCTAATGCTATATACCGGACTATACAACTCTCTAACGTTATACGTCACCCTATTCTACTCTCTAATGCTATATACCGGACTATACAACTCTCTAACGTTATACGTCGCCCTATTTCACTCTCTAATGCTATATACCGGACTATACAACTCTCTAACGTTATACGTCGCCCTATTTTACTCTCTAATGCTATATACCGGACTATTCTACTCTCTAATACTATATACCGGACTATACAACTCTCTAACATTATACGTCGTCCTATTCTACTCTCTAATGCTATATACCGGACTATACAACTCTCTAACATTATACCTCACCCTATTTTACTCTCTAATGCTATATACCGGACTATACAACTCTCTAACATTATACGTCGCCCTATTCTACTCTCTAATGCTATATACCGGACTATACAACTCTCTAACGTTATACATTACCCTATTCTACTCTCTAATGCTATATACCGGACTATACAACTCTCTAACGTTATACATTACCCTATTCTTCTCTCTAATGCTATATACCGGACTATTCTACTCTCTAACATTATACGTCGCCCTATTCTACTCTCTAATGCTATATACCGGACTATACAACTCTCTAATGTTATACGTCGTGCTATTCTACTCTCTAACGTTATACGTCATCCTAGTCTACTCTCTAAGGTTATACGTTAAGGTTAAGGTTAGACTATTCTCTAAGGTTATACGTTAAGGTTAAGGTTAGACTATTCTACTCTCTAATGCTATATACCAGACTATTCTACTCTCTAATACTATATACCGGACTATACAACTCTCTAACGTTATACGTCGCCCTATTCTACTCTCTAATGCTATATACCGGACTATACAACTCTAACGTTATACGTCGCCCTATTCAACTCTCTAATGCTATATACCGGACTATACAACTCTCTAACGTTATACGTCACCCTATTCTACTCTCTAATGCTATATACCGGACTATACAACTCTCTAACGTTATACGTCGCCCTATTTCACTCTCTAATGCTATATACCGGACTATACAACTCTCTAACGTTATACGTCGCCCTATTTTACTCTCTAATGCTATATACCGGACTATTCTACTCTCTAATACTATATACCGGACTATACAACTCTCTAACATTATACGTCGTCCTATTCTACTCTCTAATGCTATATACCGGACTATACAACTCTCTAACATTATACCTCACCCTATTTTACTCTCTAATGCTATATACCGGACTATACAACTCTCTAACATTATACGTCGCCCTATTCTACTCTCTAATGCTATATACCGGACTATACAACTCTCTAACGTTATACATTACCCTATTCTACTCTCTAATGCTATATACCGGACTATACAACTCTCTAACGTTATACATTACCCTATTCTTCTCTCTAATGCTATATACCGGACTATTCTACTCTCTAACATTATACGTCGCCCTATTCTACTCTCTAATGCTATATACCGGACTATACAACTCTCTAATGTTATACGTCGTGCTATTCTACTCTCTAACGTTATACGTCATCCTAGTCTACTCTCTAAGGTTATACGTTAGGTTAAGGTTAGACTATTCTCTAAGGTTATACGTTAAGGTTAAGGTTAGACTATTCTACTCTCTAATGCTATATACCAGACTATTCTACTCTCTAATACTATATACCGGACTATACAACTCTCTAACGTTATACGTCGCCCTATTCTACTCTCTAATGCTATATACCGGACTATACAACTCTAACGTTATACGTCGCCCTATTCAACTCTCTAATGCTATATACCGGACTATACAACTCTCTAACGTTATACGTCACCCTATTCTACTCTCTAATGCTATATACCGGACTATACAACTCTCTAACGTTATACGTCGCCCTATTTCACTCTCTAATGCTATATACCGGACTATACAACTCTCTAACGTTATACGTCGCCCTATTTTACTCTCTAATGCTATATACCGGACTATTCTACTCTCTAATACTATATACCGGACTATACAACTCTCTAACATTATACGTCGTCCTATTCTACTCTCTAATGCTATATACCGGACTATACAACTCTCTAACATTATACCTCACCCTATTTTACTCTCTAATGCTATATACCGGACTATACAACTCTCTAACATTATACGTCGCCCTATTCTACTCTCTAATGCTATATACCGGACTATACAACTCTCTAACGTTATACATTACCCTATTCTTCTCTCTAATGCTATATACCGGACTATTCTACTCTCTAACATTATACGTCGCCCTATTCTACTCTCTAATGCTATATACCGGACTATACAACTCTCTAATGTTATACGTCGTGCTATTCTACTCTCTAACGTTATACGTCATCCTAGTCTACTCTCTAAGGTTATACGTTGTGCTATTGTACTCTCTTACGTTATACATCGTGCCATTCTACTCTCTGTTACATGTTGTGCGATTGTACTTTCTATTCTACTCCTATCCTATTCTACTCTCTAACATTATACATCGCGCTATTCCACTCTCTAATGTTATACGTCACACTATTCTACCCTCTAACGTTATACATTGTGCTGTTCTACTCTCTGTTATATGTTGTGCTATTCTACTCTCTAATGTTATACGTCGGGTTATTCTACTCTCTAATGTTATACATTAACCTATTCCACTCTCTAATGTTATACGTCGGGCTATTCTACTCTCTAATGTTATACATTATCCTATTCTACTCTCTAACGTTATACGTCACCCTATTCTATTCTGTTATACATCGTGCTATTCTATTACTAATGTTATACGTTGCGCTATTCTACTCTTTTATACATCGTGCTATTCTAGTCTCTAACGTTATACGTCACCCTATTCTACTCTCTAATGTTTTGTCACTCTACTCTACTCTCTGTTATACGTCGTGCTATTCTACTGTTATACGTCATGCTATTCTACTCTCTAATGTTATACGTTGTGCTATTCTACTCTGTTATATGTTGCGGTATTCCACTCTCTGTCATATGTCATGATTTTTGTCGAATGTTATATGTCACCCTGTTCTATTCTCTAATGTTATACGTCACGCTGTTCTATTCCCTAACGTTATACGTCATGCTATTGTGTTCTCTAATGTTATAGGTTGTGCTGTTCCACTCTCCAATCAGTCATTTTTGATATCCCAGTAGAGAATCGTTTTTTTTCTTCATCATTCAAAATACTACTCGAACAGAGCTATAGGAAACACATATAGCAATTACTGACAATAATCATCATTAAGATCTGTGGCCATATCCCCCAGTCCTACCTCAAGGTGCGAAGTGCCTGCAGTTCCTCCTCCAGTGCTGTGATCTGGAGATGATGATCTTTGATGGAGCAAACACCTCCATCTTCCAGCTGCTTTTGTTTTAGGGCTTCCAGTTCTTTCTCCAGAAAACTGTTCTTTAGTGCAGTCTCTTTCACCTCATCCCTCAAAGCACAGAGCTCCACTTCCTTCTGTTTAGTCTGCTCCACAAGCGCCACCTTCTCCACCTCTACCCTCCGGAGCTGTGCCTCCTTCTGTTCCAGAAGCTCCACCTTCTCCAGCACCACCCTCTGTAGCTCTCCCTCCATCTTCTGTAGCTCTGTTTGCTTCTGTTCCACCTTCTCCTCCAGCCCTGCCTTCTCCAGCTCCACCCTCTGCAACTTCTCCATTAGCTCAGTCGCATCCTTCTCTACCAACGCGCCTCCATCCAGTTCCTTCTCCTCTTTCTCTTCTGTCCACCTTCTCTCATCTCCCTGCTCAGGGGTTTGTAGCTTTGTCTGAAGTTTCTGGAGTTTTGCCTCATACTGCAGCGTCTTCTCCCTCAGTCGCTCCTCCAGCTCCTCCCTTAGCTCCTGGTAGTTTACCTCGAAATTTTTCTCTGCAAATGAGAACGTGGTCTTCTGCTTCTCAATTTCAGCTCTCAGGTCTTCCACTAATTTGTTTGCTTTTTCATTGTCTGTGGCAAGAGTCCCCATTTTCTTCAACAGAACCTCATGGTCTTGCTTGAGAGACTTCAGCTCTTCTGCCATGGCAGCTTCCTTTTCTTTCAGAAGCTTGTTTTCAGACTCCAGACTGTCTTTCCAGGTTCGTTCCCAGGTCTCTTCCACTTCAGGTCCACTTTTCTCACTGTCTCTTTTTCTCAGCTCCTGAATTTCTTCCTGTAGTTCTTTTAGCTGCAAGACCAGCTCGTCTGCTCTAGAGTTTTCCAGCGCCTGGCTCAGGTCATGCTTCAGCACCACAATCTCCTGCAGTAGCGAGGCTCTTTCTGCATCCATAACCGCTTTCTCAGCTTCGTACCCATTCCGGACCTGCCGGAGCTCATCCCGCAGGTTCTCCATGTTCATTTGGCTCTCGTGTTGAAGGTCTTCCCGGAGCCTGGAAAGTTCCTCCTCATGGCTAAAAAGGAGCTGTGTTCGTAGTCGCTCCAGCTCTGCCTCCTGAGACTCCGCCATCCGGTCCAGAACCGCATCCTTCTCCCGTTCCAGCATCTCCAGCTTGATTTGGTAGTTGGTGATCTCTGACTCATGCTTGGCCTCCAGCTCACTTGAGGCTTCCTGAGCAGCCGCCAGCTTAGCCTGCAGGTCGCTAATTGCAGCTTGAAGCTCCTGCTGGACAGTCTGACTTTTTTCCATTTCATTACGTTGCTTTGCCAAGCGCAAGTCCTCAACAAGTTCCCGTACCCGGTTCTGCAGCAAAAACCTGTCTTCGGATACATGTGCAAGGTCCTGCTCAGCTTTCTCTCGCAGAACCTGGTTCTCCTGCAGCTTTTGCTGGAGTTCCACAACCCGAGCATTCAGCGCATTGACCTCTCCAGCACTCTGAGTCCACTTTGCTCTTAAATGCTCTGAGATCTTGTCCACCTCTGCAGAATGCTGATTCTGGATATGTGCCAACTCCTCTGCATGCCTGGCCGAGAGTTCCTGCTTCATCTGGACAATTTGCTGGCCATACATCTCATCCAGCTCTGCCCTGAGGTGGTCCATCTTACGGGCAGTGTCTCCTTGCTCTGCTCCCTGGTGGTGGTAGCGCTTCTGCAGGTCTTCCACAGTGCCCATCAGCTGCTGGATCTCGCCGGATGAGAGACGCTCCTTCTGCCTGGACGTCTGGAGCTCCAGCTCACAGGCTTCCAGCTCACGAACCTTCATGGCCAGCTGCTCACTGACCTCATTCAGATGATTTTTGGATGCCTGGAGATTGTCCTGGAGCTGGGCTAACAGCTGCTGCTGCTCGGCCATCAGCCTCTCCTGTTCTGCTATCCGCAGGTCCTTCTCCTGCAGTCTCTGAGCAAATGATTCTTCTGCTTCCCTCGTAACCTGAGGACATACAATAAGAGTTGGTGTTATATTTCAGAGGCTTTTAGCAGTGAGCAGCCTCAGCTGAGTGAAGCGATCTGGACAGCTATAACACATAAGTAAGCTCATCCTTTAATAGTTTTAAATGACATTATAAAGACCTTGTAATCGACACAGAACTTAACAGAAAGTTAGTTTAAAACAGAAAAAAATACAATAATATGGTCACACTTTCTTATGGTGAACACACGGGCTGCTGCATTCCACTTGGAGCCGATTCAGAGAGAAAGCAGGAGAACCAGCCAGTAAGACATTAAAGGAGTCTAATCTAGTAAATATGAAGCATGAACTAATTTCTCAGCATCTTGTAGGGCTATCAAGAGTCTTATTCTGAATATATTTCTCAATCTTAAAGATATTACTGATATGAGACCCAAATGATAAACTAGCATCCAGTGTTACACCAAGGTCATTAACTGTAGCTCTTGGTTGCACTAAAAAAACATTAAGGTCTAAGTAAAATCTGCAAATGTTTTTTTCATGCTAATGTAGGACCCAGCAGCTACACTCCTGCTTTATCAGAGTTCAGCAAGGAGGAAATTCCTAGTGATCCAGGCTTTTATGTCAGCTGTTTTGTACTCTTAACACCTTTCTGTTCAATTATCCTTAAATTCCTTTGTAATGTGTCAAAAGGGCTAGATCAGAGGTCACCAACCCTCCTCCTGGAGATATTCTTTCCTGCAAATTTAAGCTCTAACCTAACGTGCTGCCCACTCCCATGCCTAACACCGTCTAACACTGACCCTCTCATCAGGAGATTGAGAGTTAGACCCCTGGTCGTGCAACAGCCATCTGTGGGCGGGAGTACAAAGAGTATAATAGGCCTCGCTCTAGGTGGGCAGGATGGCCCCCAGTCTTTATTGATCACTCAGTGAGATACTAGCCAGTGCAGGTCTCTGTTACCTGATGCAACAGAACTGGGGGTTAGCATCCTCCTCTAAGTGTGTTCAGCTGTGCAATGACACTGCGTTGAAGATGCAATAGTGCTTCAGGACTCAGAGGAAGCTTGTGTTTACCTTCACCCTCCCAGCATAGGTGGTATCGTGTGATTGGGGGAGTCTCAACTAGTGGGCAGAATTGGATAAGACTAAATTGAGGAGAACATTACAACCCCTAGAGAAAGGTAAGTGGAGAAAGCATCAAATTGTTCATAAAAAAAGTTAAAACCTCTTTCTTTGTTGATGGCTAGTAAACATTTTTCAATTATCAGATTTCTTTTTTTTCCAATCCTTCATATCCATGTTGCACACTGTGGGCTGACCTGTTGGAGACGTTGCTCAGATGCTCGGAGACCGTCCTGGAGCTCGGCTAACAGTTTCTCCTGTTCTGCCACCCTCAGGTCTTTCTCCTTCAGTCTCTGAGTGAAGGATTCTTCTGCTTCCCACGTGACCTGAGGATATAAAGGAACAGCCACCTGTCAATAATGAACCAAGGATGGAAATATAACTAAAACGTGAAAGGTTTAAAACTGATGGCGGGCAGCTAACGTAGGAGGTGATCCTAGGAGAGGACATCAGTACCCACCGTCTCGATCTGGGAGAGCCTCTGCTGGAGCTGGGTCATCTGTAACAGCTTCTCCTGAAGACCTTTGACCTCTATGTCTCTCTCCTCCAGCTGCACCTGGAGACCTTTGACCTGAACATCTCTGTCCTCCAGTTGTTGCTGGAAAAACAGGACCTGCTGCTTGGCCTGCTGGAGGTCCGCCGCAGCGTTGCTGATGCTGGAGCTCCTCAACGACTCACCTACCTGCAACTATAGGTAACACATACACACCTTTACTACGGGACTCCAGGTGATCTCATAATGAAGTGTTAATATGAAAGTTCAGTGGTAGATCAAACTCCCCCAGTCTCTGAAAGCATCCCCAAGTACTCTTCTTCTTAGAAACAGCTTTGTCCATCATTATTTATGTGTAAGTTCTGCTGCCAAATTTGGCACTCGTGCTCACTCGGTCCTTCACCTCGCCGAGAGCTCATCTAGCAAGCACCACTAGAGTTAATACTGTAATGGAAGGCCCTCAAAATGGGATCAGGGATTCCCCCAAAGGGAAATGACAAGGCCAAGTGGAACACGGTGCTAAAAACAGACGGTAAACCTGTCGTTTTGTCCAGAGTGTCCTTTTCAGTAATCTCTAATAGAACAATTCAGTGTTTCTTTACAACAACAAAGAACTTACTTCCGGGTGGAGAACGCTGGTAGGGCTGCACTAATACAGCAGGATGTTATACCAATCCTACTTTTTGATTTGAATTGTTAAACCAAGATATTGGAGAAAACAGAACTTTTTCAGTGAACTGAAAAAAAACATCTACATACTGAGACAGTGTGATCTACATTTTCATTGTTAAATACTCGTAAACAATCTGCTTCTGATGCCATCGCTGTTGATAAACCTGAGAGCTTCTAAAGCTGCTCTGGTGCCAGTAAACTCTACTGTAAACTCTGACAACTTCACCATTAACTGGACTGCGTAGGGTTAAGTCTTTGGTATTTAATCATGAACACCAGCCGTTCATTTTCACTGCAGAGTCTGATTAAAAACATAACTTTTGGGGCTCCCGAGTGGCGCAACCGTCTAAACGTCGGCCCGGTCATCAGGAGATCGCGAGTTCGATCCCTGGTGATGCTACAGCCGTCCGTAGCCGGGAGTCCAAGAGAGCACAACTGGCCTCGCTCTCTCTGGGTGGGTGGGATGGCTGCCTTTCTCCCCCCATCACTCACTCAGCGCGATGCTAGTCAGTGCAGGCGTCTGTTAGCTGACGTAACAGATCTGGAAGTACTTCCCTCTGGAAGTACAGCCAATGTTTGGGTTTACAAACAACCTGATTTTATCTATAAGCTTGATTATTGGTTTCTGACACACTGATATCTATAAACATGCGCTAAAGTACAGATGAAATACAGACTTCAACGTGGCTGCTACTATTTTCAGCTGTGCTAACATACTTTTTTACTTTTTAGGCACGCAGTAAGCACCGTGCTAACTGGTGATGTATTATCTTCCATTACTTGTTAGTAGTAACAAGGTGATGTATTATTTTCAGTTACTCATTAGCCTCGTAGCTCCAGTGCTAAAAGCAAAGAAGCGAACTTCAGACACTGAACAGGTCTCGGCTGACTGCCTTAAGAGAGATAATGAAGAGCACAGAGTCCCAGCCCTGTCATACCTGCTGGAACTGGAGCTGTAGTTTCTGGCTCTGCTCCGTCAGCTCCAGGAACTCCCTCATCACCTCATCCTTCTCCGTACGAGCCTGCTGCAGGTTGGCCGTCAGCTGGGTGATGATTCCATCTCTCTGTTTCAGCGCAGCCTCAAAGTCCTGCAGCTGCACAGACACAGTATTTAAGACAGGATTAAAAGGTGCTGTGATTTCCAAACTCCCGAATGCTCCACCTGCTCCGTACTGAGCAGAGCGAGGCATTTTATCTAGCTAGTGAGAGCTCACAGTGGGAGCCAGCCAGGCTAAAGTACAGCCTCCACACGAGGGGGTTAGTTTAACATGCTGCTACTAACTAAGACCCCCAAAGTAAACAGAAAACTACATATACTACATACCCCCCCCCGATATACATTCACAACAGTTCACAGATGAATCAGAAAGATATTACAGATTTCACCTCAGATAAAATGTATTTTTAACCATGCTGATTATGCTGATCATCCTCACACTTGCCACATTTGAGATTTCCTTTCACTAATGATAGATGTTTTTGTTAAGTTTGCTGAGTTGTAGCTGTTCTCTGCTATGTAATATACAGGGATGCTTTAAAATTTTACCCTGTAATTTTTCTGCTGGAAGTGGCCAAAAATGGTGCTTTCGGTTTTATTTGACTGACAGAGTAAACACGCAGAGAATTCTGATCAAAAAGACACGCTGTTTCCAGTTTACTGAACATGAAACAGATCTAAAACCTACAAAGTGTCAAAATAACAGCCTTCGCTAATCATTTCGATAGAAAGCAGGATTAGAAAATGTGGTGATAACACCCTCCACCAGTTCTCACTTTCATGTTATTTAATAGCAGAAATAACAGAGCCAGAATTTTCATTTTGGTGCATCACTATTTAATAACATGCAAATGAAATCCATCTTCCTTTAAGGATAATAAGCCTCAATGTCTAACAGCACTTCAAGTTAATAACCAGTTAATAACCAGTCACAGTTAAGTTAATAATCACGGTGTAATTTCGCATTCCAGAGGATTCTTATTTCATCTGCAGGACATTAAATCCTCCAACCTGAGTCCAGCTGCTCTTTCATATACAAAACATGCTGAGTTTATAGACGTACACGGTTCTCCAGCTCCAGCACTGACATTCAGCATGAACATACATTACTGGTCATCTCCAGCTCATCAGAGAAAGGTCATTAATTCATCCTCCCACCTCTTAAAAGGTACAAAACACAGCAATTTTACACAAATTAAAAAGGCTTCAATGCATCATGTTATGGACAAAAAGGTTTCAGTCACCTGATGTGGCTCTCAGATGAAACACAGCAAGGTGGCTTTTTAACATTTTGTTGATAACCATCATTCACTCAGGGGCCTTTTTTGCTTTTTGAACCCCTGTCCCATTACATCACATGAACAAACACTGTGACTGTGAATGCTGCATTATTTAAAATAAGACATGGGCTTTAGCTACAAACCAGAAACGGCTAAGGATTGAGGGCAAGGTAACCAGGGCCAGAGCACAAAAAAAAACGAGTGGTAACAGAGAGAAATCAGAGAGACAGAAGAGAGAGACCAGAGAGACGGCAGAGAGAGAGAGAGACCAGAGAGAAAACAAAGATACCAAAGACCAGAGACTCCAGGGACAAAAATAAGAGAGACCAGAGAGAAAACAAAAACCAGAGAGAGATCAGAGATTAGAGAGAGACCAGAGAGAAAACAGAAGGACAGACCAGAGAAACTCCAGGGACAAAATAGAGACACCAGAGAGAGTTACCAAAGAGAAAACAGAGAGAGACCAGAGACAAATCAGAGAGAAATCAGAGATTAGAGAGAGACCAGAGAGAAAACAGAAGGACAGACCAGAGAGACTCCAGGGGCAAAATGGAGAGACCAGAGAGAGCAATCAGAAAGAAAACAGAAAGAGGCCAGAGATACCAGAGACCAAAGAGAGACCGTAGATGAAAAAAAGACACCAGAAAGAAATCAAGAGTGAAATCAGAAACCCAAGAGACCAGAGAGAGTTACCAGAAAAAGTCACCAGAGAGAATGACCAAAGAGAAAACAGAGAGACCAGAGAGGGAAAAGCAGAGGGGCCAGAGAGGAAACAGAGAGAGACCAGAGGGAAATCGAAGAGAAATCAGAAAAGAGAGACCAGAGAGAGAGAGACCAAAGAGAAAACAGAACATAATAAAAAGACCAGAGAAAAAAGAGCATCCACAGAGAAAAGAGAGACCAGAGAGAAAACAGTCTAGTGAGAAGAGAGACCAGAGAGACTTGATGTAAGAGGCCATAGAGAAAACAGACAGAAAGCTCAGAGAGAGAGAGCCCAGAGAGAGAGAGAGAGAGAGCCCAGAGAGGAAAAAAAACAGAGGGACCAGAGAGAAACCAGAGAGTGACTGGAGAGAAAACGGAGAGAAACATGAGAGAGCCAGAGATGACTTGAGAGAAACAAAGAAAACAAAGAGAGAAAATGAAAAGAAAAAAGCGAGAAAGAGCAGAGAGGGGAAACAGAGGGAATTTTAACATGATAAGCCGATTTCAGCACTGGTCAGTAGAGGGCGCATTGCATGCCCTGCTCCACTCCAGACTCTTCCTATATCAACATCCTTACTGTTAGTTTTATTTACGTTTATATTTATCTTGTAAACATGTCTTTTGTCCTCTTGCGGATCACTGTTGAAACTAAAGCGGACCGAGAGTAGGTACCTGTTGCACTCCCTCAGCTCCGAACGCCGCCCTGATCTCCTCCAGCTCTCGGCTCAGCTCCTCCACCGCCAGGTTTTTGGCGGCCAGCTCGTCCTCCATGGCCTGCAGGCGGCTCGGCGGCTCGGCCTGCTGCAGCTCCTCTTCCAGAGGAGACACTGGAGGATGTAGCTCTTCGTCCTGAGATATGGAGTGAAGGAAAATTAGACCTGTACATCTCCCGCTCTTTCTCTTCCTGTCTTTGTTGGTCACTCTGATTTTTCTCAGAACCATTTTCTTCCCTTTATCTTATGACCCCTGGTAGCTTAAACCCTTAGAAGTCTCAGTTGTTCCTCGGCACCATAATTTCATCGAAATTCAATCGTAAGTGGAGAAAGTGCAAATTCTAAATTTTCAATTCTGGGCCACATTAGCATTTGTAAGAGCATTTGTAGAAGTTACTTTATGATCATTTGGATTTGATGAAATATTGTTTAGAATTTCTGCCATGAAAACTGATTCATTTTGATAACCAATAATGCAACTATGTAATTAATTTATGTTAAATATGCATTGCATATAAACAATACAGCAAAACAAAAGTAACTCTGGACTTCTAAGAGTTAAAAGCTCTTTTATAAGACCATTTCCTGCTGAACTCTCTTCTTTTCCAGTTTTTGTTGCGCACAATCAAACCAATCAGCCTGTTCTCCCTGTTCCCTGCTGTGAAAGCACAGAGTGCAGTTAGCGCCACTGTAATCCCGGACCCGTACACTCAAACGCTCAGAAGCAGACAGACTTGGCTGGTTAGTGAGTTAGAGCAGATTTCAGCCCCAAATGCTAGAGAACGAAGCACCATGTGCAGGTGAAAGAAAGCGACAGAGCAGTAACAGGGTGTCTGCAGGTGTCTTCCATGTCCATTTCATTGCTTTATAAGACTTTATTGCCCCTCAAAGGTAATTTAACTTGACTAAATTAGCAGCGACTATACACCAAAAGCACACACACTCATATCACTGTGTCTGTGTATGCAAGGTCAGAAGTAGTTAACGTTAATTTAACATTGGCATAACCCTGCCTCGCCACAGTGACCCCGTGTTATTTAAAGTGTGTTTTCAGTTGACTGAGCTACCTCTGTTGAGGTAGGGGGCACAAGCTGAGAGACTCTTCATCAGAGCAGTGGAGTTTGATTGGGCCACAAGCAGGATGACTCTTCACTGTAGTAGTGGGGCACTAGCCAAATGATTCCTCATCACAGCAGCGGAGTTTGACTGGGCCGCGAGACTCCTCACCACAGTAGTCTCACTGTGGTAATGGAGTGTGAATGAGTCACGGGCCAGGAGATTTTTCACCACAGTAGTAGAGTCTGACTGGGTCACGAGCTAGGAGAATTCACCACAGCAGTGGAGTCTGACTGGGCCACAAGCGGGAAGACTTCCTCAAAGTAGTGGAATTTGACTGGGCCACGAGTCAGGAGACACTTCACCACAGTAGTCTCACTGTGGTAATGGAGTGTGAATGGGTTGCGGGCCAGGAAACACTTCACCACAGTAGTGGAGTCAGACTGGGTCACAAGCCCAGAGACTCTTCATCACAGTAGTGGAGTTTGACTGGGTCATGAGCCAGGAGACTCTTCATCATAGCAGTGGAGTTTGACTGGGCTACGAGCCCAGAGACTTGACCACAGTAGTGGAGTTTCACCGGGTCACGAGCCAGGAGATTTCTTACCACAGCAGAGGAGTTTGACTGGGTCACAAGCCAGGAGACTCATCATCACAATAGTGGAGTTCGACTGGGCCACGAGCCAGGAAGTTTCTTACCACAGTAGTGGAGTTTGACTGGGTCAAGAGCAGGGAGGCTCTTTATCACAGTAGTGGAGTTTGACTGGGCCATGAGCCAGGAGACTCATCATCACAGTAGTGGAGTTTGACTGGGCCTCTTCACCACAGTAGTGGAGTTTGACTGGGCCATGAGCCAGGAGACTCATCATCACAGTAGTGGAGTATGACTGGGCCACGAGCCAGGAAGTTTCTTACCACATTAGTGGGGTTTGACCGGGTCACGATCCGGGGGAGATTTTTCACCACAGTAGTGGAGTTTAACTGGGCCATGAGCCAAGAAATTTGTCAACACAGTAGTGGAATTTGATTGGCCCACAAGCCAGGAGTCTCTTTACCGTGGTAGCAGTGTGTACTAGACTGCAAGGGAAATATTTTAATGCAGTAGTGGAGTTTGATGGGCAGGAGTCTTTACCACAGTACCGGAATTTGACTGGGCAGTGAGCCAGAAAACTCTACACTGTACCAGTGGCGACAGCTGAGAAACTGTGCATGTGTTTGCGTGTATGTTTGCTAAGTGAGCTTGAATTTGAGATAGATTAGATGTAAGTTACCAAATTACTTTACTATTACTATAAATAGTATTATTAAAGTAATGCTTATTGATGTTTTTACTTTCCAAAATGTAATTTCAGACACTATTTAGACTTTTAAAGACATGCAGACACCCTGGGTGCATTAGACAGCGGACTGCTTTAACAGATGGATTACTGTAGCCTCACCTCCAGTGACCTCTGAGACAGCTCATGGCACCCATTGACCTGTCAATTAACAATCGATTATCATCTAAAGCTGTAATCCTCTTTGCAGTGAACAGTAGAAAACATTCAGAAAACAAATCAGTCCTGACAGAAGATCCCTTGAACATGGATAATCTGCACATAAACTGAAACTCATTAGCCTGAGATCATCACCGTGAACATAACGACCAGCTAATCTGAATCATAAAATATGAAACATTCATCTGATTAAAAGTTCACTGAAGTAGCAGCTTTGATCTAATCTACTGAAACACAGCACTTTACTGCCTGGCAGCGTGGAACAGTTCTTTAATGAGAGAAACTGAAACTGAAAACTGATCCAGAACTGCCTGAGAGCTTCATAAACTATCTTAATAAAATACCGATTAGACACTAATATGTAATCTCATATTCGTATGTGAAAACGTACCTGACTGATCTCTTCAGCTATTTATAGAAACATTATAAATCTGTTTTTTTTTAAATGCCAAACTGAAACTTGGACCCATCCTGGTCTAGATAGCTTCTGTGTTCCATCCTCTGATGGTTCTTTCAGGTCCAACAGCCATTAAAAACCAAATTTACTAACACTGCCTAACACCATCCACACAAACCTCAGCATATCGGGAAAAGAACTAAGGAACCAAACAAACCACTGTGAAAAGGGGAGAACATTCTAGAACAGTAGAAGGGAGGTGAACATTCTAGAACAGTGGGAATGGAGGAGAACATCCTACAACAGATGGAATGGAGAAAAACATTCTATAACATGGGAATGGTGGAGAACATTCTAGAACAGTGTGAATGGAGGGGGACATTCTACAACAGCTGAAATGGAGAACATTCCAGTACAGTGTGAATGGGAGAGAACATACTAGAACAGCTGAAATGGAGGAGAAGATTCTACAACAGTGTGAATGGAGAACACTCCAAAACAGTGTGAATGGAGGGAGAACATTCTAGGACAGCAGAAATGGAGAACATACTAGAACAGTGTGAATGGTGGAGAACATTATAGGACAGCTAAAATGGAAGAGAGCATTCTAGAGAAATGTGAGTAGGAGAGAACATTGCATGACAGCATAAATAAGGAGAACATTCTAGAACAGTGTAAATGGAGGGAGAACATTCTAGGACAGCTGAAATGGAGGATAACATTCTAGAACAGTGTGAATGGTGGAGAACATACTAGAACAATGTGAACAGAAGAGAACATTCTAGAATATTGTGAACAGAGGAGGACATTCTAGAACAGTGTGAGCGGATGAGAACATTCTAGAACAGTGTGAATAGAGGAGAACACTCTAGAACAGTGGGAATGAGAGAGAATGTTCTGGAGCAGAGGTCTTTAGATCTGAATCCAGTTTTCCGGTCCTGGTTTTCGGTCAGTCAGTAACACACAGCTCAGTTAACTCCTAGCGAACCCAAAATCCAGGACCGGAAACCGAATTAAAGATCCGGATTTGTTCTAGCGTCTCTAAAACAGTCACACTCAGGAACCAGACGGCGGGCCTGCTGTTTTGTGCGTAAGTGGACGTACCTCGGAGGAGTAGTCTTCAGCCGTGGTGGAAACTTCGCTCTCGGGCTGAAACAGACAGAAGAAACGAGTCGTTATCGATCCGGTCCACTTTACTCACTCAGAGCCGTCTGAGGTCGGACTCAGAGAATGGAAGCTTATGTACACCAATTAGCTTTATGTACATTACAAGCCTAAAACAGTGTATTTTAGTCCACTCTACACAGTTTGAGGTGTGTCTGACTTTAACATTCATGTCCATAAGAGTTACTGCTCACCCCCATGCTGGGGGGCTAAAATACAGACACACGTTCTATCATTCAAAAACAGCCCAGCTAATGAGCTAAAGCTAACACTACACCTAACAGGTACAGCGCTGGGTGATGATGAGGACTCCTCGCCTTCCACACAAGTCTTTCCTCCTCGGTGGACGAGGTGCCAACATGTTGGTTTAGCAGAAAACAGGATTTTTAATGTTTCTGGACTGAGCTAGCATTAGCGTGTTAGCCTAGTTAGCGATAAAGCCGCGCCAGAGCCGGGCCGCTATCTCTGCGTCCACATTTTATGATATACACGAACACCTGAATAGAGATTTTAGAACCAAATACTGGCAGCTAGAACGGTTATTACACCCCTAGTTTGAGGACACTGTGTGATAATTTAGGCGTGCAGTTAGCGCTACGCTAATTGGGGGTATAAGCTTCTATAACTCGTAAGCTACACTAGCAGTTCCAGTGCTAAAACTAAAGACACAGGGAAGTCTAGTCCCAACGTGGAACCGAGGTAAACAGAACATCAGTTTGTAGGGACCGCAGCGTGAGGATGAGTTTAAGACCGTGTTAACAGCAGGAGGCGCGAGCTGTGGGTCTAAACCACGTCTGAGAGTGATCGACTGATTCACTGCGTTAGCTCCATTAGCTCTGAACCTTCTGAGAGAGGAGCTCCTCCAGTGAAGAACAAGGTTAATTACATAGGCTTCAGCGTGTCTGTCCCACTGACCTACATCTCACACAAAGCCTGGAGCCTCAACTCACAGGCTGGACAATACACTCACGCCTGGCCTGGACGATATCTGACACCAATCAGCACGATACGTGAGCTTACGAATACACACAGACCTACGACCTATTTCTACTCTACTCCTAACCCCTAAAACTATCCTATCCTAAAATTGATTTTATCTGTTGTTATAACAGACATCACCATAAACGTGTGCGCTCGTGAGCTCCTTCTGGTGTGGGTTCTCCTGTGCTATTAGAGCTCCGTGCTGGAGAAACTTCAGACTGCAAGAGATTTACGAAGCCATGACGCACAAGATTTACAAATTAAAAACGAGGCGTTTTCGTGGTTACAGCTCCGTTTTCATACATTCAGCTCATCACCGGAACACTAAAGCTTGTGGATGCAAACTGTATTTTGCAAAGACAGCTGGGAAATTTACTCTCTAATTCACTGAGTCACTTCCTGAGCAACAGCAATTAAATTGAACTAACCAGTGGTGGAACCTGAGATTTGATGATGTACTGAATCGCTTCCTAAAGAATCATAATTGAACCTAATTGAGTAATAGTGAAATCTAAGACTTCATGATGTACTGAATCGCTTCCTAAAGAATCATTATTGAACCTAACTGAATAATGGTGAAATCTAAGACCTTATGATGTACTGAATCACTTCCTAAAGAATCATAATTGAACCTAACTGAATAATGGTGAAATCTAAGACTTCATGATGTACTGAATCGCTTCCTAAAGAATCATTATTGAACCTAACTGAATAATGGTGAAATCTAAGACCTTATGATGTACTGAATCGCTTCCTAAAGAATCATAATTGAACCTAACTGAATAATGGTGAAATCTAAGACTTCATGATGTACTGAATCGCTTCCTAAAGAATCATAATTGAACCTAATTGAATAATGGTGAAATCTAAGACTTCATGATGTACTGAATCACTTCCTAAAGAATTATTATAGAATGAAATTGTGGCAAAATCTGAGATTTGCTGATGTGCTGAATCATTTCCCAAAGCATCCTAATTGAATCTACTAATATAATGGTGAAACTTGAGACTTCATGATTTATTGTTTCCTGAAGAATTTCCAGTGCATCAATGAAATTTGATGCACTGAATCACCTCCTAAGGAATCATAACTGAATCATAATTGAATCAAATCAGTGACAAATCTGAGATTTGTTGATGTACTGAATAATTTCCTGAAGAATCATAATTGAATCAAATCAAATGGTGGTGAAATCTGAGATTTGACGATGTACTGAATCATTCTGTAACAAACTGAATAGGGGTGACATCTAAGATTTGATGATACACCAAATCATTTCCTAGCGAATCAGTGTGAAATCTGAGATTTGATAATGGATTGAACCATTTCCTGAAGAAACATGATAGAATCAAATCAGAATGTGGTGAAATCTGAGATTTGATAATAAACTGAATCTTTGCTCAAAGATTTGTAACAATCAAACTGAATCCAGAAAAAATGTGAGATTTTGTGAATCGCTGCCTATTTATGGCTTATTGCAGATTACAGTCCAGCTTTAAAAATGTTTTATGTTTCTCCTGTTTTTACTGTCTACTCTATCACACTGACCCGCACGGCCGGACTGACAGATATTATAATGTGCTGTTTATTCTGCTTATATTATTTCCACCAATAACGACCTTTCATCAAAACCAATGATTATTTAACTGAAAATGAAAATAATGCTCATTTTATAAATGCACCTCTTATTCTCTACAGCATGTATGTTTCCACTCTTTTTTTAATGTACATAAACATAAAGCTGGACAGAAGAAAGGCCAAATGCACCACACTGCTATGATCACTGACAGCCGAGGACGAGCTCTCCTGTTCTTATAGAGCTGTTTTTGCCTCTTCATGGACGTAATGTACTAGTTTACATCACACAGCGCGTCACTAACAGCATTAGCGTTTAAATGATGATAAACAGTAAACACTAATGGATTAAATAAGCCCTAATGGATTAATAATAAGTGATATTAAAGAGTCAGGATGTTAATGAGCTGCTCCAGAGTCAGGAATGAAAAGCTACAGCTGTCTGAGTGCATTAATGCACTAAAGTATGAAAATAAGAGCAGCTCTAAATGGTGTTATTAATTTTCCAGTGTATAATAATGTAAAGCCATAACATATACACACGTTTTACTGTACAAAAAATCATGAAATGCTCCAAAATCACTTGGAATGAACTTATTTACATTAATTTAAATTAAAAGTTAAATAAGTAAAATCACTTAGTCGAATCAAAGCATGTTGAACAGTTGTAAAAAATCAAATTGAATCATGGAGAAATGTGAGTTTTAATGATGTACTGAATCATTTCCTGAAAAATCGTTATAGAAACTAACTGAATTGTGTCAAAATGTGAGATACAATAATGTACTGAATCATCTAAAGAATCGTTAAAGAATCAAATTCAGTCATAGTGAAATGTGAATTTTAATGAGGTACTGAATCATTTCCTAAAGTATCATTACGGAATCAAATCAGCCTCCATTCTTCTCAGGAGCCTCACTTTCAGTTCCTCAAAGAATCTGCAGACACGCCTCCAAAGTTCAGTCTCAGAAGCTGGTTGATCATTTTCTGAAGTAATCAAACCCATTCAGTGAGGTCTGTCTGATTCACTGTTCTGAGAACTGTTAAGTGTGTCTCGATCTTCTCAGAGGGGTGTTTGGGGTCGTTATCTCTCTGTAGAGTGAAGCTCTACCCAGTCAGACGTTTCTCTCAGAGGTGCTGCATGATGTCGTTAACTTCGTTTGAACTCGTCAGCTTTCGTGATGCCTTTAATCACGCTGTTAAAACTTGTGCTCAGAGATGAAAGCTTTAAGTGCTGTTTATCTGATGGGGGCAGTTTTGGGGTCGACCAGCTCTTCCAGGTGGTTGTTAGGAGCCACATTTTCTCTGCAGCTTCTATACTCCAGTTTTGGAAACTCTGAATTTCTCCTTCTTCATGCGAGTGGAGTATCTTTTATCTAATCTGCTCACAAACACCTCCTGAAAAATCAATAACTTGTACTTAACAGCTCCCAGACAGGAGCACATATCGGTCTGCTGGCTGGATAAGGTGGCACCAAGCTGACTGCAGCCCACTGCTGGTCCACCCTCAGACCACCCTGATTACCATCATGTATACAAGCTCAAACTAGTTTTAATCTCCTCAAACAGATTTCAGATGTAAAGACAAATATTACAAACAGCTGAGAGAAAAATTAAAGATTGAACATGATATAAATGATGCATATAAGCTGGGCTGTTTTGAGTGTATATTAAATAAATGAAGGATGGTCTCTGACTTTTACACAGCACTGTAAATCAATAATAATAATAATAATAATAATGATAATGATAATGATAATAATAATAATAATCCTGGTGTAAAAGTCTTCAGGCTGGGCGTGTGAGGAGCAGTTTACTGATATTTTGACAGACTTGGTAAAAAGCGCAGTGCGCATGTTAGTGGAACTCTCAGGACTGTTGTTGCCACAGCAACAGCTTCACCGTGAACTACTCAGAATTTAATTGTAGAGCTGAAAAAAACACGTTTTGTGGTCCTTTTCTAAAAAAGCGAAGGGCAGCGCTGCGGTGGAGGACGGAGCCTCAGCGAGAGGCTGTAGGAATCTCAGTGAGGTTTGGCCTGAGGGGAAACGAGTGGCTGCTCAGGAGTGTGTGGAGCTCATCGAACCACACCTCACTGAGGGTCTGTGATCGGCTGCATTAAACACCCTGAGGTCTTCAGTTAAGTATGAACCTCAAGGGAGGGTTTCCACCTACCAAAGGGAACTCATTAAAGGGGAATTCCACCAATACTGCAAAATGTATGAATAACTCAGTGTGTGAGATGTAATCAGAGAGATTCAGAGTGGTTTGGTGTGAAATGGTTCAGATGTCTTTACAGTGGTGGTGATAGGAACCAGGGGTCGCCATGACTACAACACAGATATAGACATTTTATTTACTATCCAGAACCACCAGTGAACCTACACGAGTCTTCTGAGTTTATATGAATGTTGATGATGGAAAATAG